CTAGCTAATACATATGATTAACAAGACTATTCTAAAGAAGATAACATATATTCATTACAAATAATTAATTTAACAAACTTTATTAATTTATTTAAATTAGTCAACTAATTATTATACTAAGGACTGAAAGTAGTATGTTGGATCCCTAAACATCTCATACTTGTTAAAATGAGGTTTGTATTTATAGATCCCAAGTGATTCTCGGCATTAGAAATGAGATCCAACTAACCTAGGGGTGTGGTTGAGCGGTGGGGGCTCATCCTCCCTTAACCAAGTGTCAAGGGTTTGATCCTCACTTTGGGCATAGAAAAACTTTAAAATCTCAAGCCAGCTGTTCCACCTATCAAGATGCATACAAGCCAGCGAAGGGATTAGTCACTGAGTCTGCTGGTAGATACCCTCATGTTTCATCCAGAAATGAGATCCGACTGTTTGTCGTGGAAGCAATGAAAGGTACAGAGGGCCAACCAAACTACAACTGTTAAAAAACAAATTTATTAGGAAATTTTTAATTAAAAGTACAGAGCATCCAAAAGTTTGTTTTGAGTGCAAATTTATCTAAATTGTAGCAATATTGACCATCCCATTAAAAAACTAATGGTGACTATTAAAATAGCCATCATATCACAAAATACAAACACATAACTTTGTCATAACGACCAATAACAATGAGAAAAAATTACTGTGGTCTTATATTAAAGAAAAAAATTATAAGAAAGTCTGATAATTATGGATGAAAATAGGCTAAACCTTTCTTATGGACTTACAGATCGACCTAGTTAGAGCCTGACAAGACCTAGCTTGTTTAGCAAATAGGCAAGGCTTAAGGCCCATTTAAAGGCCTACTTGCTAGGCTAGGCGTTTTGTTTTAAAACCTGGCTTGCAAGCTTGTAGGAATATATTATACATTTTAGTTAATTATATAATATTAATATATAATACTTTATTTTAACTTAAGACTTATTGTATTTGCATAGATATGTTGATTCCCTTTATTCCCAGCTTATGTTCAATCTTCTTCTTTTTTTAATTAATTTTTTTATTAGTCTGTTGCTCTTTTTTTTTTTTGTACATTTATATATATGCAATTATATTGGCAAAGCATATACACACATGGACTTAGATGTTGTTCTTGATCACCACATGTATGTCTTATGTTATTGTATGTTGATTGTTTTGTTGTTGTATTGTATTTCTTTTTTAGCACTATTGTTGTATTGTATTCTAACGGGATTTTTTTTTTGGCATTACGATCACGTGTAACAAACTTTACAATTTATTAAAGATCAGGTTTTATTTTGAATTTTAATTATATGCGGGTTTTAAATAGGCTTTAAATATATAACATTATAAGCATGTCAAATATAGGCTTTAATAGACTTGAAGCCTATTTATAGCTTTCGAGGCCCAAATGTGAGGCTTTTTTAGAGGCTTACATTGTAAATGGGCCTTTAAAATCAGACATGATAAAGCGAGAGAAGCCCCATCCCTCTCTTTTCTTTTTTACGTCCCTAGTAGGAACAAGTTGATAGGATCCCCCTTTTTTTACGTCCCCATGTTGCCCCCGTGTGGCGACATGGGGGCGAAAAAAGGGGGATCCTATCAACTTGTTCCGACCTAGGATAATAAGCTCATGATCTTAGTCTTACTTCACCGTCAAGAAACGAAAGAAAATCATAAAAATTGAAAGCTAAATCATTTTTTGCAAATAAGATATCAAAATGTCATTCATTTTATCTAAATTTTGATGATAAAAAGATTCAAAAAATGTTCGAGAAAAGCCTCAAAATTAAGAGGCAATTGTGGGGCAACTGACAAGGGGTGGTTGATAGCCTCGGCCCAAAAAAAAAAAAAAAATTTTTATACTGACTTCTTTAGACCCCTGTTATAGGCTCAGGCCTTTTTAGCCAAAGTATAGCCTGGCTTATTTTCATCATTACTTATAATCAATGAATGATAAGTTTTATAGGCAAGACATAACAAGATTCATGCTACTCACTTGTTATTAGGATTCTTGATTATTATATTTCTTTTTTGGAAGCTCATAGTAATTTTCCCTAAGAAAGAAAATAATGTGAGAAATGCAATAACACCAACCATAATGTCAAAACAATAATTAACATAGGTATCAGAATTATTTGGTCTCCATATCAGAGTGCTTGTGTCTTTGCCTGCTGGACTTTCCTTTGGGCAACTATCCTGGAGAGCCCTGCTTAACTGAAATGGGTTTAACGAAGTTTTGCTGGCAAAAAAAAAAAAAAAAGCATAAGAAGTTAAAAAAGTATCAATTTTTTATGCCCCAAAATAAATAGATGGAAACATCAAACAAACAATCTCGTAATTTTTTGGCCCAAAAAACAATTTCGTAATTTACTCTCAGGTTTAAACTTCACACCCGCATATGTTATGGTCAAAATGGGGCCAAAAGCCCAAAAGTGGGTTGGGCCAATGCAACATCGATTCCAGCTAGCGGATTTTGACTTTTATATTCAAATCCAAATAAGCATTTTTCAGAGCATGAATCCAAATTTTTTTGTGCATGAGAAACTCCTCAGAAGCTAGGATTTTCTTCTTCTTCTTGTTTTTTTTTTTGTTTGTCATTATTCACTTGATGAAATGAATCCTTATTTATCCCCCTTATGGAATATTAAACATGCAACTTCATGTCTAAACAAGATTTAAAAAGATGCCAAGTGCAAATTAAGCCACATAATGCTGACTCAAGCAAGGATAACATGTGAAGTTCGAGACATTTAAACAGAATATAATGATTAGGTATATAAATTGAAATAAATAGTGGTATAGTATGGTATAATGTAATATATGGTGTACTATAAATATATATTTATTTATATCTATGCATGGAAACTCCTCACAAGTCACAAGCTAGAATATAAACATATGGAGTTTAATACATTAAAAATAAATAATTTCTTCGGAGTTATGACATACGCTCGTCCATATAATATTTACGATGTTACAATTGTTTTGGATTTTTTTCAATTGAGCATCTTATTAGAAAATGTTAATATGTTTTTCAGATATATATTATTTTATGGAAACAAATGGAGCTTCTAGGAATGATCCAACTTATTAAGTCACCGTTTATTTCCTCAATGAATACCTTCCCCAATAATGAACTGGCTAGAAAACTCACCCATTCAATAAAGTAACATTATATATTAATAAGAATAAATTAGCCGCCCCCGGAGACAATTCTGCCTATGGATCTCAATTATATTTTAATTAATTCCTTCTGGATCTCAAATATAACACGTATGTGTATGTGTATAGAGATCAAAGGAATTAACCATATGTTGACTTAATTCATAATTTAAGACGTCTTTTATGACTAAAGAAAATGGCTTTAGCACCTTTTTTTTTTTTAAACCAAAATGGCTTTAGTACCTAAAGTCATACATTTTAGTTAATTTCAACATTGAAGGGGATTTCATTCATAAAATATTTAGTTTTCTATATGTTGATTTCATTTATTGAAAACTCATTACATGCGTTTTTCCTGTCCTGTATGATTTGGTTTCAATTAATTAAATAATCCCTAAAAAAATATATACTATAATTATAAGTATTAATCCTACAAAATTATTTGCGGAAATATTTTTTATCTTAATATTTTTATTTTTTGCCAAAATTTATTTATTTATTTTTCATTTAGTTCTATAATCTAATGCTCCTCCGGTCCTTAATATAAGACCCATTTAACTAATTTGATTAGATTAAAGAGGTTAGGTAAGTTAGTTAATTATAAGAAATATAAGACGTTTTTCCTAAAACACCATAATCATATTTCTTAGAAAAAATCCCAGATAAAGCCCTTCGAATATACATAATTCCAGATTGGGTCCTGGAATTATATAAATGACAGAAAGGGTCAATGACCCAATCGGTCATTTCTAAAATTAAAAGCAATTGACAATTTTGTCCTGATTAAGCAAAAGTGAGTAGTTATTCTCTAAACAAATCTAGGTAATGTTGTTCTAGTGATTATATGATTAGTTGTAGTTAATAACAAGACATCTTCTCATGGGGCATTCCTAACTACGAAAAAATGAATAGTTATTCTCTAAATGAATCTAGATAACGCCTAAACCCTTATACTGATTTCTTAAATTATTATAGTAAATGAATACAAATGAAAGTAAAAGTGAGTAGTTATTCTCTAAACAAATCTAGGTAATGCTTATACTGTTCTAGTGATTACATGATTAGTTGTAGTTAATAACAAGACACCTTCTTATGGGACATTCCTGACTACGAAAAAATAAATAGTTATTCTCTACATGAATCTAGGTAACACCTAAACCCTTATAGTAATTCCTTAAACTATTGTAGTGAATGAATATAAATGAGGACAAAATTGTCAATTGCTCTTAATTTTAGAAATGACAGATTGAGTCATTGACCCTTTCTATCATTTAGACAATTCTAGGACCCAATCTGGAATTATATATATTCAAATGGCTTTATCTGGAATTTTTCCTATTTCTTAATACCACCTCTCCTCTTTTACTTGATTATAATTGAAGAAGTATTTATAGGGGGTAATTTAGAGAAGATTGATAAATATGAGAAATGGGTCTTATATTTAGGACTAAAACTAACTCAACAATTGAGTCATATATTAAGGACCGAAGGAGTAATATAAAATCTTTTTAATCATTATTATTGTATTCTTGTCAATTTCCTGTAATCTTGATTATTTCAGTCATCATCTATAATTTTATCACTTACATAATGGACAAAATTTGATAAATAATCACAATTTTTAATCAAGAAGCATTTTTTCCCCCTTGAGGAACTTATAATTAGAAACGCGATTTTTCTTTAATCAAGAAACTTCTGGGCCGTTTTTCTTTATTTTGAAAAATCTTATGGTATTTCACATTACCTTAATCAATAAGAAATTAATAAGAAACTCTCAACCAGAAAAGGATTATAAATAGCCCCGAACCTACCCCATCAACCCTCAACACGCAAAACCCATTAAAACATATCAACCACCATCCATATATTCTCTCTCCATCTCCAACCAATCTTCATATTCCCAGCAAAACCACGATGTCTGAAGGCGGCGGCCACCACCATCACCACCACCACCACGACAACCAAGAAAATCCGACTGGCGAGATTGATTACAGGAAGGAAGAGAAGCACCACAAGCATCTGGAACAGCTGGGAGAGGTCGGAGCTATTGCTGCTGGTGCCTTCGCATTGGTAAATATCATATATACATATATATTTATATATAAATATATATATTCACTAGCTATTGTTCATAATTATGATTGATTTGAAGACATGATGGAATTGTTTTTATGCAGCATGAGAAGCATAAGGCGAAGAAAGACCCAGAAAATGCACATAGGCACAAGATAGAGGAGGAAATTGCAGCAACTGTGGCTGTGGGAGCTGGTGGATATGCGTTTCATGAGCATCACATGAAGAAAGAAGCAAAGAAAGAAGATGATGAAGGTGGTCATGGAAAGAAGCATCACGGCTTCTTTCATTGATTTTAAACTTAAATTAATCGCTGAAGAATAATATTATGGATTTGGAAAGTCGTTTATTATCTTCTTTTTGGATCTCTTCTTCCATACCACACACACATGCTTGTACTCTTCCTACTGCATTACTCGTAAATAAATTCTCTGAAGCCGAGATTCATGAATTTCTATGATGTTTTTCTTTTTTAATACTACCCGTTGTATTTAATATAAAAGTTAGTTTGACTTTTAATTTGATTCTAAATATAAGACTCAAATCTGTTTTGTCTTTTATATTTACTCATTCTTCTCTAAAATAGCCTTTGTAGTAGTTGCACATGTTAAAAGTTTCATCAAATCTTAAAGTTAATACACTTAATTAGTAAAGATATTTTAGAAAAGATAATTCCTATTTATTAGCTCTTATGTTAAGGAATGAATGTAGTAACATTTTTCATAACTTCAGGAAAATTATTGATACACAATTTCAGCAAATCTACTCCTTTAATACGTACTCTATATTGAATAACAATACTTTGTGAATCACTTTTGATTATTAAATGAATCTTTCGTGGTTGGATTTTGATTCTACATGCTTGCGTAATTTTTTTTTTTAATACCAAATACAACCTTGTGCTTTTTAGGAAATCAATCTTTCCTTATTCTAACAGGGTTTAGCACAGTTCTAAATTTATATATAACTTATAAGAAGTGTTGATATTTTTATCTCAAAAAGAGTATAAAATAAAATAATTAATGTTTAGTCATTTTATACTGATGGAATTATATTTACTTTATATTAATATTTTAGGCTACCTACATGAAAGTCCCCAGAAATGAGCTAAATCAGCTAATTACACTGTACTGGAGTTACTAATTAAGTCCTTTTCAGATGTTAATTTTTTTCTTATTAAATGACCATACTAACCATACTTTGAAATTACACTCGAGTTTAATGACACGTTCTGTATAACGATTAGTAGCTTTAACTATTATGACTAATGACAACTACAAGTTTGACAACTCCTTTTTATAAATAATAATAACGTGCTTTCAAGTATTAGAGTTTAATGACAAGTTTAGTGATAAATATATCAAATTTCATTATAAGCAATGACGACTACCATCTCATCAGTCAACAAATATTTTTCAAAAACAAAAAATCAATTTTTGAGTTTAGAGAGTTAGTTGTCACCTGGAACTCAATGACAAGCTTCAAATGACAATTATAACAATTTTGATTTTATATAGTTGAATTTTTTTGGTGATTAATAAAATTGACTTTTTTTTGGCCAAAAAATATATAGTCGAATTTTCAGTATGCTCTTGACGGGATAATATATATCTAATAAGGCTATTGTCTCAAATCTCAATCAAATAACATTAAATTAATTAGTATTTAATTTAATTAATATCAATTAAATGAGTTTTAATAATTAAGATATTATAGGTGACTGGGAGATACTCCAAATATTGATCACAATTACTTATATACGTTATTCAAAAGGGAAATAGTAAGATATGATATATTTTCTATCATAAATATGTCACCCACCGACTCTACAATAAACAGGAGGGACCACCATGAGTAGAAACACAGTCGCGTTCATGAGTTGCTTTTAATTTGTTTTATACAAATCAAGAAAAAGAAATTCAATAATTTTTTTAATTTTATTTCTATTTAATAGATATTATATCTAATATAAACAAAATCTACACAATAATAAATAAAAAGTGAAATTGTACATGCGTATAAAAATTTTTTCTCAGTATCCTATAAATAGGATTAAAAAAATCTTCTCTCTCTACTCTATAAATAAGACCAAAGGAGTATGAAATACATCAAGTGACCTTCTCTTCATAATATTAATTGCCTATAGTAGGAGATAAATGAAATTTTCCAATTTTATATATATTTCATATAATAAAATCAAATTATAAAAATCAAATTATTTTTAAGAAAAAATTTCTTAAAAAGACATTTAAATAATTTATATTTTTATTTGGGTTATTAAATTCCCCAAACTCCTAATCAGGTATATGCCCCCAATAAGGAGATTAGGTTTTAGATGTCAATTATCTGTGTGAGTACATCCAATAGATTGCTCCAAACCCTAAATCCAGTATGCCTCTCTCCCTCCATTATTTGTTTTCTAATAGTGCCATCAGAGCTAGTAGATCTTGCAGCTGTATTTAAATGCTATGTGATGATAAGCAGTTTATTTTGTTGTGCTGTGTAAATATATGACTTCCACGTTCATATATCCTTGTCATATTGATCGATATGTATGGGAAGCTTTTTAGGAATTTTTTTAAGGGTTAAGGTGCAATTTTAACAACAAAGTTTACCCTAAGGAGCACTGGGCATCATAAAGTTTATTTGGGTGCAAAAATATACATGAAGTTGTCAAAAGGGAGCATCTGACACCATGCCGTTAACATCCGTCAGTTTACCGTTAGAGGGGCCCAGAAAGTCAGTTTTAAAGTGTATTTTTAACAACAAAGTTTACATCAAGGGGCATTAGGCACCATGAAATTTACTTGGATGTAAAAATATACATGAACTTTGTAAAAGGAAAAAAATAACAAAATTCTTCAACTTCCATAAACATCCATTAATTTTATTCTTTTCTGTCTCACCAAATGCTATATTTTCTCTCTATAAATTCCAAGCCGATCCATCTTTCTCTCATCATAGTCAACATGCACATTCTCTTTGTCATGTCGTTTTCTGAGCCTCCAAGCCTTTTATATGTATTTAAGCAAAACACATCTTTCCCTTCTAGGATATAAGGTTCATTACTTGCACCCGAGTACTACCTCCAGTCCTTAATATAGGATACAATGGACTAATTTGAGGAGATTAAAATAAATAAATAAATTACTTTAAATATTATATTATTTATTTATTTGACGCAATAGCATATAGTACATGATCTCTCTAAAATATTTATATGCATCATTAAATTATATATACGTTTACAAGCCAAGAAAATTAATTTGGAGAAAAAACAATAAATATAATATTTTAAAGTAATTTATTTATTTATTTTTAATCTCCTCAAATTAGTCCATTGCATCCTATATTAAGGACTAGAGGTAGTACTGGGATACAAGCAATAAACCTCATATCCTAGAAGGGAAAGATGTGTTTTGCTTAAATACATATGACAGAAAGAGTATGCGTGTTGACTATGATAAGAGAAAGATGGATCGACTTGGAAGTGAAAATTGATGGCAAGAAAATATAGCATTTGGTGAGACCTAAAAGAATAAAATTAATGGACGTTTATGGAAATTGAAGAATTTTGTTATTTTTTTCTTTTACAAAGGTCATGTATATTTTTACACCCAAGTAAATTTCATGGTGCCTAATGCCCCTTGATGCAAACTTTGTTGTTAAAAATGCACCTTAAAACTGACTTTTTGGGCCTTTCTAACGGTAAACTGACGGACGTTAACGGCATGGTACCAGATGTTCCCTTTTGACAACTTCATGTATATTTTTGCACCTCAATAAACTTTATGGTGCCCAGTGCCCTTTAGGGTAAATTTTGTTGTTAAAATTGCACCTTAACCCTTTTTTTTTTAAAAAAAAAAACTTGTTTAAATCCATCAAAGAGTAGTAAAATTAAACAGTTTAGGATGTTAAATACCTTCAAAATTGGACTCAGATAAGAATTTTAACATGAATGATGGGTATAATCGTGTAGAAGACGAAGAGACGATTGCAAACAAAAAATGTCGATTAATCATTAGGGTCCCCACCACATCTAATAGGCAGGTGGTGGCTCTCAATTAAGGGGTGCAGGTTGAGCTTTATCCTTAACAAGTCTGGCTTGTTTGGTAACAAGTCCTATAGCATGTTGTTAGTTTTTGTTTTTTTTAGCTTAAAGTTAGCTTGTACAAAAGTCTGACCTGATCCGGTTTGAGCTTGTTAAAAAAGTTTGTAATTTTAAAATTTTTAAAATGTATAGTAAAAAAAACATAAACTAATGAAAAGCAAAATATACATACTACATAATAATTATTTATTATTATTATTTTTTATTTAAATTTTAATGTCATAAGTGATATTTTAAATCTTGATTACAGTTAACATTAGTAAAAATAAGTTATAATTATATGTTAAAATTTGAAATAAAACTAGATAAAAGTACAAAATTAAAATTAAAATTAAGATAAATAAATCAGCTAAGTGAGGCTTAACAGGCTTCTCAAAAAGCCTAGGCCTGATCTACTAGATTAAATAGGCCTTTGAAAAGGCCTAGGCCTATTTCTATTTTGAAACAAGTTAGGCCATAAACCCTTGATAGGCCATCTGAGCTATTTTCATCCATTCTCCCAATATAATTAGTGCAGTGTTGTGAAAGGGAGACAAAGGACAGATAATACTACCTCCAGTCCTTAATATAAGAGTTAGTTAACTAATTTGAATAGATTTAAAAAATCAGTTAAGTTAATTATTTATAATATATAGGTGTTATTCTTTCTAAAATATGCTTACGGATCAAATATATTGGGTAGAACTATCATCATTATAAAGATTATCTTAAAAAAAATAAATATAACAGACAAATTGGATTAAAATATTGTATTTAGGACAAATTGAAAGTAAACTAGCTTTTACATTAAGGACATGATATAGTATTATATTAACACGGGAAATTATCCAAATTATCCATTCCATACGTAACATGAATAATTATGGGACGGGACACGATGCGAGGCAATTTAGGCTATTCGAAGCTGGGAAAACCCGAATTATGGGACCCTTATTGGAGATCGATCTAAAACATGTAGTTCGCAAGTTGGTTGCGGCTCATTTCTTATTAATTTCCTAACTAGCTATTACTATTATGTTTAGAACAAAAAAGGTGTACTCTGCTCGTTAATTCCGTTTTGCAATTTGATTGTTAGTAACCCCTTTTTTCTTTTTCCTTTTTTTTTAAAATTTTTTTGAACATTTTAGCTGCCTGTTACTTTCAACGTTATCTACTTTTTTGATTCTACTTATAATTCACTTCTAACATGTTTCATACGGACCAAAAAAAACTTAAACTTCGTTAATTCTCATTTAAAATTCAATAACTTTCTAACTTTATCCCTATTTAATATACATTATATATTATGTAAACAAAATCGAGATAATAATAAATAAAAAGTAAAATTATATATCTATATAAAAAATTCCTCCCTGTCTTATAAACAGGAGTAAAATTTTTTTTTGTCTGTTTTATAAATAGAGACATAAGAGTATATAAAAACATTAATTTCTGTAATGCCGCCGATATAGGTCTACATTGCGCCGGAGCCCAGATTTCTAGACCTATAAGCAGGCGAACTATAAATTGAATTTAATTCTGCAGGACTTGCGATGCTGAAGGGTATGACAAATACACACGCCTTTTTCAAGTTAGCGCGTGACGTGTGGCTGTTCGCTTGTTTGTTGTCTATCTTATCGCAGGGCAAGTTTCTCAGCTTCAAGCCTCCTATCACCAGTTTCCGCGCCCCTCTTCTCTCTGGTTGACTGTTTCAAAGTTTTCACATCAAAATACCACCTCTAATTTTTAATATAGAAACTATTTTGATATTAAAATATGTTTTATGAAAAAAAAATTTATTTAACCCCCATTATTGACACTTAATCTCAGCCGACCTCCAAAAACGTAAATTCTAAAATTTCACTACATCTCTAATGAACAAAATTTTATGAGTGAAAAGAGAAAAATACCCTTGCTTTATTTTGGGTTATAAATTTTCTTCTTTTTTTTTTTTGGTATATCATCAAATTTGGATTGCAAATCGCTATTTTTTTGTGAGTTACAAAATTTTTGAGTAGTCCATTCACATCAAAATAATTGCATTTAAGGGTTGTGACTTGTGAGTTCCTTATTTCTCTTATAAATTGTCAAATTTGGATTGCAAATAGTTGAATTTTTGCAATAAATGCTAAATTTGAGTTGTCCCTTCACACCAAAGTAATTACATTAGGGTTGTGAATTTTTTTATGTTTCTTGTAAATTGTCAAACTTTAACAACCCAAATTCAGCAATTTACAAGAATGTTTTTAAAACAATAAAACAAGAGAATTTTTGTCTTTCCACCCATGAAATTTTGATCCTTTTAGTGCAGTCAAATTTTATAATTTTTTGGAGGTTGACTAGGATTAATTGTCTATAGTGGGAGATAAATGAAATTTTCCAATTTTATATATATTTCATATAATAACATAAAATCCATAAAAATCAAACTATTCTTAATTATTAGCTCAAGCTTAATTCATGTAAAGCGCGAGCTGAGTTTATTATTTTCTATATTTGTATTATTGCTATATAAGGTGTATATTGAAGATTTTGAAAGTGATGTGACCATCATACTTCCTAATTGAATTTAAAGATAAATATATATAAGTTGGCAAAAAAAATTAAAAAATTTAGAAACATAAGGTCGAATAAGTATTGTTGTAAAAGAAAATTAGAGAATTCATTTTCAAGTAAGAATAAATGACACGCTTCTGTATATTTCGGCTAAAACGCGGCATGTTTCTTAATAAAGAAGTTTTTTGTATTTTGACTATTTTATGTTTCACATATGGTCGTCTTACAAGAAAATATTAATAATGTTGACTTAATCTACAAGAAATTATCAACAAAAATAAAACTATAAATGGCTCAGCTTCCCACATAAACCTTCAACATCTATCCGTAGCAATAAGCATACATACATCATTATCATTTCGTTTGAAATACCTTCCCTTTATACAGCCAAGTCATCTTGTATTAAGAAACTACCATGTCCGAAGGCCATCACCACCACCATCACGGCCACCGCCATCACAAAGAAAAACCGGCTGGCGAGACTGACTACAAGAAGGAAGAGAAGCACCACAAGCATAAGGAAAGTGTCGGAAAATTAGGAGCCGTTGCTGCTGGCGCCTTCGCATTGGTAATAAATAACATATATATAATATCATTAAACAAAAATCATTAATTATTGTTCATGATCATGATTAATTTGAAGAAATTAACAATACAATGAAACTGTTGGTTGCAGCATGAGAAGCACAAGGCGAAGAAAGATCCGGAACATGCACACAGTCATAAGATAAAGGAGGAGATTGCAGCCGCTGTTGCAGTTGGAGCCGGTGGATATGCACTTCACGAGCATCATAAAAAGAAAGAAGCAAAGAAGAAATACTAAGAGGCTCATGGAAAGAAACATCACCAATTCTTTGACTGATATTAGCTTATGAAAACACACACACACACACACACACACACACACACATCTCTGGGGAGCTCAACTTCTTGCTGGATTTGTTCTGTTCTGTACTATATTTGCTCTTCTGATTCGTACAAGTTATTACACTCAGTGTTCCTACACAAAGTAGTAATACCTTGCAGTATTAGGAGAGGATATGGAAGAACAGATTAGGAGAGAAGCTGAATTCATATTTGGATAATAATTATAGTCCCTAGTTTTTTATTTTATTAATTTGTTTTTGTGTGTGTGTGTGTGTATGCTTTTCATACACAGCAGGAGTTTCATGATATATGTATGATTATTTGTTTGTTTGACTTTATATATATGTATGTATGCATGAAATACAACTTTGTGTCTAATCTATTCGACCATTGTTTTCTGGTGTTGCTTTGGATTTGCTTCGCCTTACAGACGGTGCACTACACACACACGTGTTGCGCAATGTTGTTAGTTTTAAAAAAAAAAAAAAAGAGGAGACAAGGGAAGAAAGAATCAAACATACAAGAATTTTTCTGATTTTCGGCAAATTAAATCTTCCAATTAAAATGACATCATCAATGTGTTTTTGTTTGGTAATTGATTCTGCAACTGAGATCAAACAGTCGATTAGAAGTTAGTTGGCTATTTATTATGATCAACACTAATAACCACCTCCAATCCTAAATATAAAAATTTGATAACTAATTTATACAAATTAAATAAATTAGTTAAGTTAATTACTACCTCTGTCTTAAAGATAAGAGCTAGTTGGATAATTAGCTTAGTCCTAAATATAATACTATCTCAATTCATTTTGTCCATAATATTTATTCATTTTGCCCTCAAATAATCCTTAGGGTGATTGAGTTTTCATCAATTGTTAGTTCCAATGCACATGATTAACAAAAGTATTTTAAAAAATACAATATATATATTTATTACAAATAACTAACTTAACTAATTTTCTTAATATTTACAAATTAGTTATCTAACTCTTATATTAAGGATCAGAGGTAATGTTAAAAATGTGTGTTAATTTTCTTTGAGTCATTTGCATGAATTGGAAACTACTCCTCTAGTCCTAGTTATAAGATAGAGAGAAAAGATTTTTCTTTATCCTATTTATAAGTCACTTCATTAAATTATTAACATGAAAGTACTATTTTATCCTTAATTTATTATAGTGTAGATAGTTATTTCTTTTAAAAGATTTATATATTAAATAGAGGTAAAATTGAAAAGTTATTATATTTTAATGAAAAGTTAACGCATTTTCCCCCTTTTCAAATTAAAAATTTTATTATATTTTTACACCCAGGTAAATTTTATGGTGCCCAATATTTCTTGGTGTAAACTTCATTATTAAAAATGCATCACTAACGGAGAAGTAACAGACGTTAATGATGTTATTAAAAATACTCTTTTTGACAACTTCATGTATATTTTTGCAGCTATAGAGACTTTATGGTGCCTAGTACCGTTTAGTGTAAGCTTAATTGTTAAAATTGCGCTTAAGAACCATTTTAAATGACTAAACTCACCGTCCACATTGGTAGTTAGAAGTTGGAACTATCCTCACCAAGTTTGACTTTTGATGTATTAAACTCGTAACTTTTTGCAAATATAGAGTCCTTATGTATTACAATATTGTAAATGGATTCGTTTAGGATACAAAAATTATGTTCGGTTCCTAATACATGACACTTGTTAATATCAAAAGGTTGGCTATAAAGATGATATATGGAAATTATAAATCCCTAAAGACCATTTTAAAATAGATTATTTCAATTTACATGCACTAAAACATTTCAATTGTAAATTTCAAAATGCTGAGTAGAAACATGTTATAAAACATGTCATGTAAATGGATTCTTTCATTATTACCTAAAATAGATTAATTATAAGAAAAAGTATATTCCGTTCTTTTTCATTGCTCTTTCACTCCCTTTTGCAATTTGATTGTTAGAGTTTTTTTTCTCCTTATAAATATCCTAGCTGGCTTTTAGGTTACTTTCAATATTATCTATAGAAAAACATTAATTTTTGCAATTTGATTAGAATATGACCTAATCCATCCTCAGTGAATTCGACCCAAACCCATTTAAGTTAGGGCCGGAATGCAAATGAAAGAAGACTTAGATCGTTAACCATAATATCCACCATGTCATTTGAATTTGCTTTAGAGCTGGTAATATGGGTTGAACCTAGGGGTGAGCAAAACCGAACCGGAACCGAAAACCGAACCGAACCGAACTCAATTCGGTTATTTCGGTTATTATTTTTTTCGGTTATTTTATTCGGATACTTCGGTTATCGGTGTTCGGTTTGGTGTCCTGAAAAATAATTCGGTTAGTACCGAAATAACCGAATTTGAACAGTTTTTTTTTAAAAAAATATTTCTCTCCCATTCTCCTTCTCCCCAATTCCTGCGGCCCAGCTACCATCTATCCAGTCATTCCAGACTTCCAGTGATCCAGTCCAATAGATAATAGTCCCGTGACCCACAGTCCACACTGCCACCCGGCCCTTCTCGCCTTCACCTTCACACTCAGTCGGCCTCACACTCCTTCAGTAGTTCAGTTCAATCACGCCCACAGCTCACTGCCTCACTCGACGCTCACAGTCATAGGCTCGCCGCTCGCAGCTTGCTCCCTCTCTCCCAGACTCTCGACTCCCATCCCCTCTCCAAGCCCTAAGTCTGCAAGCGGATTGCACAGCGTTTTTGAAGTTCTTGCAAATCGCCCTAATCACGCCCACAGCTCACTCGACGCTCACAGGCTCACCGCTCGTAGCTTGCTCCCTCTCTCCCAGACTCTCGACTCCCATCCCCTCTCCAAGCCCTAAGTCTGCAAGCAGATTGCACAGCGTTTTCGAAGTTCTCGCAGATCGCCCTAAGTCTGTCGCCGTCGCAAGGTTCAGAGTCTGAACTTCAGACTTCAAACTCCCTTCTTCGACTTCGTTCGGTCATCGCAGATCAGCAAGAGCATTGAAAAGGTCCATTTTTCCCCTTTTTAACAATAGATTATATTCGACATTAATACTCTGCATTCGACATTTTTTCCCCTTCAGACTTGGTCACTTGGTAGCTTGAGAGAATTTCTTCTACTTGTATTTGAATTTAATACTCTGCATTTGACATCAATTGTATATTGATTGAAACCATGGGTGATGCTTGATTATATCCAACATCTGACATTCCTGATTCCTCTGTATTTGGGTGGTTTGCTTATGTTTTTCGATATCATGATCCCCTGTCCCTTTATTTTCTTCCGCAGCGCATATATAATATATTGATTGAAAGTTGAAACGTGATGCTTGATTATATAATCTGTTGTAAATTAAGAAGAAGAGAGATTGATTATAGATAGGAGTTATCTATTCATTATAAATTGTCTTCATTTGTGTTCTTATATACAACTGCAAAGGGTTTATTATTTCAAGTAGTGGAGAAAATTAAGCACGCATTCTTCAATCCTTCAATTTATTATTTCATAATAGTTTGATGATGCAGTGGAGAAAATTCTTTAACATGTTCCACTTTGATGATGGTTTAACTAATATATATATTTTTTTAAATTAGATGTCTTCTCATGGTGAAACTATGGGTAATGCTTGAGCTGGGGATGATGATACTACTCAAACAATGAATCCTTCAATGCCAGTAGCAAGTGGGACTACAAAAAGGAAAAGCATGAAACCAAGATCAAAGGTTTGGGAGCATTTCACCAAATTTGTGAATGAAAGAGGTGAAACTAGAGGTAAGTGCAACTATTGTGAAAAAGATCTTGCATGTGATTCAAAAGCTAATGGAACTACTGCACTTAACAACCATTTGACTACTTGTAAGTTGAAGCCCCCTCCTGAAGAGCTTGCGCAATCTCACTTGAACTTTAGTGTAGATGACAAAATGGGTCTTACTAATTGGAAATTTGATCAAGATGCTATTAGGAAAGCCTTGTCATGCATGATAATTACTGATGAATTACCTTTCAAGTTTGTTGATGGGGATGGGTTTAGGCAATTTATGTCAATTGCTCAACCTAGGTTTAAAATTCCATCAAGATGGACTATTGCTCGTGATTGTTTTGGGATTTACATTGATGAAAAAATTAAATTTAAAGACTATTTACTGCATAAGAGGCAAACGGTTTGCCTCACCACCGACACTTGGACTTCCATTCAAAGAATCAATTATATGTGTGTTACTGCTCATTTTATAGATGATGCATGGACATTGAGAAAGAGGATTTTAAATTTCATTCCTATTTCTAGTCATAAGGGGAAGGATATTGGAATGGAAATGGAAAAATGCCTACTTGAATGGGGAATTGAAAAGGTGCTCACAATTACAGTGGATAATGCTAGTTCTAATGATGTCATGATTCAATATTTAGAACAAAAAATTGTGAATTGGGGTCACTCAATTATGAAATGTCAATTCTTGCATATGAGATGTGTTGCACACATAATCAACTTGATTGTTACTGATGGGTTGAAAGAAATAGGGAGTTCTGTGAAAAAAGTTAGAGAAGCTGTTCGCTTTATCAGACAATCACCCCTTAGGATGAGAAAGTTTAAAGAGAGTTGTGTGGATGAAAAGATTCAAAATAAGCAAATCTTATGCTTAGATGTCCCTACTCGGTGGAACTCTACCTATTTGATGTTAGACACTGCTCAGAAATTTGAGGCAGCCTTTAAAAGGTATGAGGATAAAGATCCATATTTTCGATTTGATCTTCAAGATGAAGAGGGGGTGCTTGAGTCTGAAGATTGGAAGAATGTTAGGAGGATGATTATGATGTTGGGTCATTTTTATGAGCTTACTGTGCGGATATCTGGCTCTTTATTTGTAACATCTAATACTTTTTTCCGTGAAATTTATAAGCTATATCGTTTTTTGGATGAGTGGACAAAATGTGATGTTTGGGAGTTAGCTTCAATGGCAAATAGAATGAAAGAGAAATTTGATAAATATTGGGAAGATCCTTTGAAAATGAATCAACTTCTTTATATTGCTGCTGTTCTTGATCCACGATATAAATTAGATTGGGTGCAATTTGCTTTGTGTAAAATGCACACAAGTGCAATTGGTACAAGTTTGGGGATGCATGTTAAAGAGCTTTTAATTTCTTTGTATAATGAATACAAACACACTTTTTCCCCCTCAACCCAACCTGAAAAAGAGCCATTGCATAGCACACAAGATCATTGTGATGAAGATGATGATCCTGCTATGAAAGTTAGAAAATTGCTTGATATTGAGGAACAAGAGTTTATGAATGAGCGTCTTGGTGGAAGAACTAGCAGAACTGAGGTTGATAGATATTTGAATGAAGAAATTGAGGTTAATAAAGATGATTTTGATATTTTGAGCTGGTGGAAGCTAAATGGTCCTAGATTTCCTATTCTTTCTCTAGTGGCAAGAGATGTTTTAGCTATCCTAATTTCTATGGTTGCATCAGAGTCTACATTCAGTACTGGAGGACGAGTTCTAGATCCATTTAGGAGCTCTTTAACTCCTAAAACTGTGCAATCTCTAATTTGTGCTCAAGATTGGCTTAGACGCTCAATTCAACATGTTGTAGAAGAAGGGAATGATGATATCCAGAAGATAGAATTGGGTAATATTTTATTTTTACTTATAACATTATAAGAATAATATCATGTTTAATTTATTATGACATATGAAGTCTGATTTTGTTTTTCTTTGTGTAGATTTGCAAAAAATTGCATTGGAAACAACTGTTGATATACTATAGATGCAACAGGGAAAAAACTTAAGAGTAAAAAAATTATTGTGGTTAATTTGTTTGTTTTTTCTTTAACTCTAAAGTTGTGCACTCTCTAATATTCTTGTTTAATTGTAGTTGTTGCTGACTTGATGGCAAGTTGTATGCAAGGAACTTTGGGACAAGACTGGAATTTCAGGCTGCCTTGTGGAATTTCATTTTGGGTTACTTGTTTCAATTGTTTGATTTTGGATTACTTGTATGTTGATGATGGGTTAATCAATTGCATAATGTGATAATGGCTAGCTAGATGTTGATGATGAACTTCGGCTAGCTAGATGCTAGCTATCTGACGAGCTGGGGCAATTTTAGTTTGTATTCTCTCTATTACAATTAATATCTACTCCTAATTTGTACAAGCCGTAGATGTGATGGGGTTTCACCGTTTCAGGAGAGAGTTCGTTGTTATTTGGGATGTGAGAACTTTTTCCATGCTGATATTTTGTATTTGTTTTATGTTCAGCTGATATCCGCAATGGTTCATGATGGTTCTTCTAACATATTTACAATTGTTTAGGTGTTGTGGTGTTTTTAAGGATATTAAATTTTAGAAGAATTGTAATTGCATATTTATAACTTGTCATTGACTTTTTAATAATTATTCTGTCTCACAATATATGTAGTGTGTAATAAAATATATTTGATTTTGGAATTTAAAACTTTTATTACACCTTTCAAATATCTAGATTCTTTGTACAAAAAGAGCCCAAAAAATTATTTTTTTTCCCACTATTTAGACTTTTTGTGCGTACTGGGCTGTAATGGTACCTGAAAAAAAAAAGGCCAAATAAAAGTCCCAGTAACCGAATAAGCCCACTAACCGAACCGAACATATTTCGGTTATTTCGGTTCGGTTAGTTCACTATATTCGGTTTCGGTTCGGTTTCTTCATTATGATCATTTTGGTTATTCGGTTATTAATACTAACTGAAACCGATTAACCGTTTGCTCAGTCCTAGTTGAACCCGCGGGTTCAACCCACCAACCCGCCAAAAATGGCGGGTTAGGGTTGGCTAAAAGCCAACCCGTCAGTAAACGAGTTTTTTTAACCCGCACCACCAGGCCCGCAACCCGCCACGGGTTAGCCCGCCAACCCGCAGGCTAACCCGCATTTATTTTTTTATTTTTTTAAATTTTTTTAATTATTATAATTATATTATTATATAGTATATCCTATCTAAACAAATATTAAAAAAATACCTATATAATTTATTTGGTGCTTTTAATCAAATATTTCAAGAAAAAACAAAAATTTTATTATTTTTTAAATATTATATAAGAAAAAATATTTAAAAGTAAAAAAAATATTTCAAAAATAAATAAATAAATGTTGGCGGGTTACCTTGGCGGGTTAGGGTTGGCTAAAAGCCAACCCGCCTTCAAACGAGCCTTTTCAGCCCGACCCGCCACAGGCTCAACCCGTCACGGGCCAACCCGCAACCCGCGGGTTGGCCCGTATTACCAGCCCTAATTTGCTTGGTGGGAACTGTCAATATAAGTGGGATGAGAGTGGGGAGTATAAAGAAAAAACTGAACACATGCTGGCATAATATACCTAGAAAGGAAATACCATCTCCGATCTCATTTAAAAGACTTTATTTATAGACTACAAACAAAATCTTATAATTAGGATTAAAGGTAGTACTCTCTATTCAGTTTGAGTAGAAAACACTTCTTATCTCAGTACCCTTTGTTGTATAACAAAACTCTGACTCCTTTCTGTGGTCTGATCACGTATGAGCTTATTTACTGTTCTTGATACACTCCAAAAACCCTTAATCTATGTTGTCCCTGGGCCTAGATTTCTAGATCTATAAGCAGATGAATTATGAATTGATTTTCATAAGACTTCCGATGTTGAAAGGGTATGACAAATACACACGCCTTTTTTTTAGTTAGCGCGTGACGTGATTTTCTGTACACACACACACACATTGTGCTTGTTCGTTGGCTATTTCCTCAGTTCCAACTTCCAAGCGTTTTATCACTATTTTCCGCGTCTCTCTTCTCTCAGGTTGACTGATTCAAAGTTTACTCATCAAAAAATATATATATTTCATGTGATAATATAACATTCATAAAAATCGAGCTATACTCAGTTGTTATACCCCAGACTTAGTTTTTCATTATTTTCTATATTGGTATTATTGCTATATACGTACGGAGTATGTCGAAGATTCAAAAAGTGATGTGATCATCACATATACATCCTAATTGAATTTAAAGATATATGCAAACAGATAAATCATTTTCATGCAAAAACAAACGGCATGCTTCTATACGGGAAGGAAGAGAAGCACCACATGCATAAGGAACATCTCGGAAAATTAGGAGAAGTTGCTGCCAGAGCCCTTGCACTGGTTGTAATATATATATGTGTGTGTATATATCAACACAAAGTTATCTGCAGTTAATCATTGTTAGACATTGTTCATAATCATGATCAATTTGAAGAAATTAACAATATAATGGAACAGTTTGTGTTCATTACAAGCACAAGGCGAAGAAAGACCCAGAACATGCACAGAGTCGCAAGATAAATTAAAGCAGGAGATTGCAGCCACTGTTGCAGTTGGAGCTGGTGGATATGCGTTTCATGAGCATCACAAAAAGAAGAATCCAAGAAGAAATACCAAGAGGCTCATGGAAAGAAGCATCACCATTTCGTTCATGGATTTTGACTTATCAAGAATATATATATATATATATATGGCTTTGGGTTGCTCAACTTCTTGCCTTGTTTATTCTGTGTGTTCTGTACTATATATGTTCTTCCGATCCGCGCAAGGTATTATACGTACAGTATTCTTTGTTCCTACTCAATGTAGTAATACCTTGCACTATTAGGAGAAGATATGCGAAAGAACAAACTGGGAGAGAAGCGGAGAATTCATTTTTGGATAACAATTATTGTCTCTACTTTTGGATTATTGATTTGATTTGTTTATGTATATGATTCATTTGCACTACAGCAAGAGTTTATGACTTTATATATACACTACCTCTGGTCCTCAATATAAGAGGTAGATAACTAATTTACAAATATTAAAAAAATTAGTTAAGTTAATTATTTTGTAATAAATAGATGTTGTCTTTTCTAAAATATCTTTGTTAATCATGTGTAATTGGATTACCTCTTGATAGTAACTTTTTAATAGATACAATCACCAAAGGGATTATACTTGAGCATAAAATGAATAAATATTACAGACAATATGGATCGCTATTATATTAAAAACCAAAGGTGATATTAAATACAAATTTGTGTCTCTATTCGGCAATTGTTTTTTGGTATTGCTTTGGATTTACTCCATCCTACAGACATTGCCCTCGTTAGGCATTTTGTATTGCTGTAGGACATTGCTTAATTTCTGTGTGATAATGTCTGTTAATTACCAGTTTCAGTTACATGTTGCCCAAAGTAGTTAGTTGAAAACGAGAGATAAGGAAAGATAGAATCTGTAAGAAAAATTTCAGAATGGATCGAAAACATACGGGTCGGATCTCGGGTCGGGTCGGTTGGATCTTCTTAGCTCACGCTTAAGCTAGACTATAAAAGTCTGAGCTTTTAAGTGCACAGCAGAGCACCTCTTTTGCAAGAAAGAAAATAAGAGAGAGAGAGAGAGATAGTAGGAAAGCTCTACTACTGGAGTGATTTGAACTGATGAGGGAAGCCTCTATTTATAGCTTTTGTCAGGGATATTTTGGGTAGCATAAAAATATCCACTGAGCCCATCAGATAAAATCCGAGATAAGATATAATATATTCTTATCTCATAATATCATGATATTTGAATTTAAATCCAGAATCAATCACAATTAATTCTAAATATATATACTTAATATATATTTAATCTACACAATATAAATTAATTAATTTAATATAAATTAATTAGATTTATATCGTAACCGATTGGATATGATTCAGGGTGTTTGACCAAGTCAAACATATCACAATATCGCTTGGATATGTGACTGATATATTCTCTTTATACCCGGTCAAATAATCCG